ACGGAAAGTTGTGGGGGTTTTTTTGGGGCAGGGAGGAGGTATTATTTCCACACACACACCCCCTTTTCCTGACAACGCTGGCCAGCAGCCCCCCCATGGAGGATGTTGGGCAACACACGTTCCTGGCCAACACCAGCACTGACCCAACCATGGCTGATCCCTACCACGTGCCGCCAGGATTTGCCAAAAAACCCCAAAACTCCCACCTCGGAGCGTGGCCCCTGCAACTGGGACATCCCAAGGGACCATCCCAGGGTGTGTCCCCCCACCCCAAAGGGTGATCCTCACCGGGAACCCCCTCCAGGCTGGAAACCCACCCCACACGCCGCTTTATTTCCAGACCTTTCCGTGCCACGAGGCTCCAAAAAAAAGGCCCCCCCCGACCCCGCTCCGGGGTTTTCCCCGTGTCCATCAGCCTTATCGGCTCCGTCCGCACGCGCCAGGCTAATATCCCAAATTACCTCCCGGAAAGCGCCGCGACCTCCTCTCCCCTCCGACCTCCCCCCGGCCCCTCTCGGCTTTCAGCGCCACAATTAATGCTCAAAAAAAAAAAAGCCCTCGTTACCCCGGAGATATCTTAATTAGCAGTGCCTGGGATGGGTGTAAAAACACCCAGGAGACGTCGGTGCCCCCAGCATCCCCCCAAGTGATGGCGTGGATCCATCCCCCCCACCCCAAAAGCAAACCTGGGGAGTTGGGGGGGGAAGATTCAGCCCCATCCTCCAGCCAGGCCTCCCAAAAAAAAAAAAAAAAAGAAAATAAAAGCCCCCCCGAGCAGCCCCCCCAGCACCCGCTCCTCCATTATCCGGCTCCGCCGATAACAGACCCCGTGCTCCGGGCCCTAATTCTCCTAAATCTTAATCTAAACAGCTCCAGAAACACACACGAGCGCCGTAAAACAGACACGTTTCCCGTCCTCCGAGCGGGACCCTCTGGAGGGGCCAATTTTATATATATTATTTTTTTTTCCTGCAATTTTTCCCCCCCCTCTCCTCCTCCAAGCAGCCTCTGGAGGGGCCAATTTTATACCTATATATATTTCTTTCTTTTTTTTTTTTTTTTTTCATTCTCCCTGCAATGTTTTTTTTTTTCCTCCCTCCGTGCAGACGCAGCGCCGAAACATGTGTTTTAAAAGGGAAAAGTGTGAAGTTTTCAGATCGGAGAGGAAAGGGCCGGAGAGACGCAGGCAGGCTGTGGAATGTGCAAGTCGCAACGAAAAAATACCTGCTCGGGGGTTTTTATGGCTTTCCTATTAAAAAAAAAAAAAATGCTGATCAGGTGCTAAGTAATGCTATAAAGTAAAACCACATTTCCAAGGTGTCGGGAACGTTTATGCTTTTCTTCCGAAGGGCCGGATTTCATTTTATTTTTATATCGGCATTTTAAGGGGCTGGGAAAGAAAAGTAAAAATGCTCTCCGATAAGTGTCAGAGATCACGCAGTTAAAAAAGATTTATTAAGATGTGCAGGGGGTTAAGGAAAAAAAAAATAATATAAATAATTGCCCTGAAGAACAAAAGGAAAAGTTGGGCAGCGCTGAATTGTGCAAGAAAAATGAATTTTTAAAAAAGATAAATATATTTAGAGCTCTTTGAAAGCTCAAGCAAGGAGGTTTGCACCCGAAAAACGCTTCATCCCTCTTTCCCACTATCTTTTTTCCCTTTCTCTGCTCCAACTGGCATTTCTCGTGCCCATCCCTCAGCTCGAGGAGGGATTTATAAAAAGCCCAGGCATTCCAGCGAGCGCGACCGAGCTGAACCGAGGGGAAACATTCGCTCTCTAAAAGGAGATTTGGCTTCGCCTTTCCCCAGCGCCGCACGTCGAGGGGCCGCAGGGCGAGCGCTCGCCCCACTCGGCTGCACCGGACCCCCATGGAAGGGGGGAAAAAAATGGGGGTCCCCGGGGGGGGGTGAAAGCAGCTACGGGCAGCACCGGGCATCCCCTCAGCGGGGTGAGCCAAAAAGGTGCAGGGTCAGCCCCTACGGGGGTCCGGCCACGGCCCCACGTTGTTCCCGGTGGGATTAACCCCTCCAGCCCCCCGGGGAGGGTGTTGGGGTGGGCACCGCTCCGCACCAAACCCCCCCTTTATTTAAAGGCTCCTGGTAAAGCTCCTAAAGGGGTTTTTGGGAGCTGTTTTCCTCCCTTTCGCCACCGTTTCTGCGATTCCCGCCCCGGTTATTGCTCTGTGATACTTCCCCCCCCAACACTTAACGACACGTAGGGGTCAGGGGGGGCTGAGACCCTCATGGCCGGGCCCCAATGGCATTGCTGGAGCCGGGGGGGGACACGGGAGAGGTGGCTTTTCTTGGCGGGACCCGTTTGTGCATCGGAGCGAACATCCATCGCCTTGAGAAATTCCCATCATCGGGAGGAAGCCAAACTTCCTGCTGCGGGGAGCGGGATCTCGCCTCCCCTTCGCTCCCCCCGGGGGGGAAGCAACGAGGCCACGGGTGGGACGGGGGCTAATTAGGGTTTAGGGCTCTGGGGGGGACTCCACACACCCCCCTCCACAGCAAAGTGGGGACCCCAATCCCTTTGGGGCTGAGGCCGCCCACAGCTCAGCCCACAGGTGGCACCTCCCGGAGCTGCCACCACCGGGTGGGACCCCCAAATGGGCATCATTGCAGAGCCCCCCAGGGGTATTTTTTTTGGGGGGGGTGGGTTAAAAAAGTGGGGGGGCTCATTGTTCTCCGCGGGGGAGGGAGCTCCCTATTGTTCTGGGTGGGGAAAAGGGGATTCATTGTTCTCTGGGACAGGGGGGGAACG